GCCTCACACGCCACTACCCCAGAGACATTTTAGTGAGCATGACAAGTCTAAGATATCCTTCTGGCTAAGTGCCAGATATAAAACTATTTAGGAGACAAGGCAAGAAAACTCTAGAGAGAAAAGCAAGGCACCATAACAAANTAAATTTCTTTAGTGCCGTGCTAATTTCTAGGTTAATTGTTGCGTTTTGATACATATATTTTATGTCAGGTATATCTTTCCTTGACCAGTCCCCGAAGGCAGCGCCTGTTCACAGACATGACGTGTGAACCAGCCATCGCTTCACTCGACCATATTATAGGGAATGTAACGACCCGCCTCACACGCCACTACCCCAGAGACATTTTAGTGAGCATGACAAGTCTAAGATATCCTTCTGGCTAAGTGCCTTCTTCTTATTCTCTGATCGCGCGTTCGGCGTTTCGCGTTTTCACGCTCCACCGCGCGCTCTCTGAATGTCATGATCTGCGGCAATTACTCCGAGACGCCGCGTCTAATGATGACAGTGCGTGCTGCGCCGGGAGTAGTGCCTGCCGAGTGTATAATTATACATTGTGTCCCCAAATAAATCGCCTTTTATTCGAATATAGACAGGAAGGAATTTCACACGTCTGCAAGCAGGTATTTGTAATTTTCCAATTACTTGTTTTCATCAATGAAATTGTTTCCGTAGTCCGACCGATTACATCTTACCTACTTATTTGTCATGTTAGTCGTAATATTCTTGAAACTTCCACATTTTCAGCTTTCAATTCCAATGTATATTTTCGTTGCAGTGTACCAATAGCTCGAAAGTGATCTTGCTATCAAGATTTTACTGAAATCGTTTATTGATCGAGTCGGCATGTAACCTGGGACCGCCAGGCACAGCCGGCGCGGGCAGACAGTTTTATAGGTACTTTTATTGCTTGTGCATTTTTATCATTCAAGGAATTTAACATGTTTGTTTTTAAGCGAAGATTTTCACTACCTCATATTTATATTTGTCATGGAAACCGCTATGGGAGCGCATAAATGGTTGTCAATAACAGACATGCACGATGGGAAACCCGAGTGCCCTGAGGCCCCATAATATAAAATTCCTAAGCTGTAATTGAAAATTCACTTCTCCAAAGGTCTAAGAGAAATTCTTATTAGGGTGTGCTTACACTTTGAAGAACCAAATTCGGAAAAGTTGGTTTTCTGAATTATCCTTATCAGGAATCAAACAAAAGAGGCTTTGCTTTTAAGGCGATTTGTCATGATATATCTCCATTCCCACCATCCGGCTTTGACGTAATTTTGGCTTAAGATTGTTCATTTATTAAATATTTCACAAGCTCCCTGAAGCCTTCTGTAGTGATCGAGAGGATGTAAGGTTCTTCAACCATATCTATCTATTACCTTATAGCGTATAAGGACAATCTTATTTAAAATTTACATAAGACCTCAGACGTTACAAAAGGGGGTTTCGTATTTCCCACGAGTGCATCAGCCCCTCATACAACGGGCACATCACGACGTCATGAGAAGCAGGATCTTGGCCAGACGGATTACGGCCCACGACCGCCATCTTGTCAGATGACACGATAATGCGCTGATCCTCATTCGTGCTCATGTCTCCGCTATCTTCGCTACATGAAACTAGATTATGTATTTACTCTCATTTACTTAATAAATGTTCGTAGGGTTGGTAAGACTTATAGCCAGGGTTTGATTGTTCAAAAATGTAGCGGTTAGTATCACTAACTGTAGTTAATAAACTCTTGATTTGAGGGATGATGACTGGGTAATGAAATCGAAATTCTATTTAGACCGTCAGACAGATATTTTTTTTTTCATAATCGAATAATTACAGTATTAAATTGAGTTGAAACGTCGCGTGACGTCACGTGCTATTTCAACTCGATGTAGCACTGTTATTATTTAATTATGAATGAAAATAAAAAATATGAGTCTAATATTTTCTAATTATCTGTCTGACGGACAAATAATTGAAATCTTGTCATCTAGCCTATTATGTAGTTACCAGTTAAGAAGAGGGTGCAATCATGATAATTTATTATCTGACTTATCTGAAACTATGACCAAACTCACACCATTTTTCTACTGGTTTAAACTTCATCTTTGATAGATAACCCTAATAACGCTGTATGTAAAGGCACCTAGTCATTAAAATTCGTCCTCCACTCGATTTAATTTTAATCGCTGTAAACGAGCGAACATTCTGGGGTAGACTTTCACTAGCCCGCTCGGAATTAACTGATTAAATCGTCAGTCAAACATCCGATATAAATCACAACACTGTCAACGTTGCGACACACAACAATCCTCGTAAATATACAGTATTATGCTGTAAATAGTAAAGACACGTACACAATTGTTACTATAAATATTTGCAATGATTCATCGTCGATCGCTTTACAGCAATTAGCGGATTGTGTCGGTTGGTCATTTTGTAAACTGCTACTTCTTCGTGGCCGTGGATTATCAAAATCAAAATCAAAAGTATTTATTCAGTTTAGACCACAAGTGGCACTTATGAACGTCAAAATATTATTATAGAAAATAATAAAAAAAGAAAAGGTAGCCCTTATGGGGGACACAGCAATTATTGCTGATTACGAGTATTGCTATTTATGCTAATTAATGAATTTAGGTACATTTGTGGGGCTGAAAAAATTGGCCTAAATTCTAAAATACCTACTGAAATTTCTGAGATTCAAGTCTAAAGAAAGTAAGTAGTTCTAGTTGGAATATATGTTTGAATTTGAATTAAACAAAGAGGTTCACAATTTTACAATTTTGTAGTCTGTAAATCAACTGCGGTCAGTTTTCAGAACCTGAAAAGATTATCACATTAAAACGCTCTTATTTATGTTGTGTGTACCTACAGCTTTAGCATTAGCACGTGCGCTAAATGCCTAGCCTAGAGCCCGTAACGGCCGCGTGGGCGACGGATTCCCGGCGTAACACATTGTTGGCGAAGGCTCTATTGCCACACCTTTCGGGGAAAAGACGTAACCACTGCTGTGATAGATTGACTAACCAACCCATTTTTAATATTTAGCTAACTGTCGACGACACTGTCGGCACCTGAAGGGCAGACGAGTCTAAACTGGTGAATCGTGATTTTTAAATATTCTCACCTACTCTTAAAGCAATTTTTACGACTAGGGTTGAAGTATGGCTTGGATTGACGGATGAAGCCACTTCGTGCTAAACACTGTGGTCTCTGTGTAATTGTAATAGATATTACTTTGCAACAATCGATTCTTATCTGCTCTCGGGCTCGTAGGTAGGTACAAGTTTTTAAAAAAGCCCATTATTAACAGCTATTCAGAATAAATTGCGATTTGAAATTGAAACACGTTTACAAGTTGATAATGATCTTATTAATCCATCACAACTAGTATTGTATTACGTTGTAGAGCGACATATACGCGGCATTTTGGGGTTCCGCATCATAATAAGTAATCTCCACATGTTTCTTGAGACATGGTATTTACATAATACACGCTTTTCAATGGAGAAATATGGAATAGTCAACATATTTTGAATTCGTATTTTGCCATCATTGACTTTTAAGACATTGACACTTTTTAATGCTCATTTCATATACCCGCGCTCTATAAAAGAGAATGAATTTGCCATAAATTTATTTGGTACGGAATCTCCTGAAGCAAATAAACTCGAACGTATCTATCTTTTTTGTCAAAATACATAGTAGCAAAAAGTTGTTTGCATGGAATCCATTGATCAGTCGCCCACGCGCCCGCGACATATAAGGTGCGATGACACAAGCCCTGCTGCTATACTTCTTGTCCCATAAAATGGTGGTGGTTTGACATTGCCTAACATTAGGTATGTAAAAATGTAAACAACACTATGTATAGACTTCTCGGAATGATTATAAAAACCAAATAAATCAATGTGATGCTTATTTTTATCGACAGACCAATTAGCAATCAACACACCGATATTGCATTTTAGATTTATATTAGCCTTATCAGAACGGAAACTTAAAACAGAATTGACTAGTAATAGCTTCATCCTACCTATTTAAGAGCTGCTCATAAAAGTAACAAGATTCAAGTCATTGTAAATCTGTCGACCACAGAACAAAAACTACTCATATTCCATGATCTGAGCTGTCGACAAGTTGATTGAGTTATTAACTTTATATTGGTGCTATAAATATTGCTATCGCAATAATAAGTAACGTAACCGCAATAAAAAACTAGATCAAGCTAAACTCGTATAATGCTAGCATGTGTAATGTCAAAAACAAAAGAGCAGCAAAAAGAGACTTGTTTTGCATTACTCGTAATTAACTATGTCCAGTAAAAACACGTTACGTGTTACCGCTCAAAACTAAACGGGTCGGAGAAACTTGTAAAATCGCGATTTTCACGCGCCCGCGCAACACACACAGATATCATCAAAAACGCGCATAATTCACCGCAAACTAACCGCAGCACTCGGCTTCACTCGTGTGTTTGGACGGCTTCCTTGTGTTGCGCAATTTGTCACCAAAGATAAAGTGCTTGTTAAACCAAATAGTATAAAAAATGTACTCAAGGTGAACCTACCGCGAATTACCTGAGGCTTTTTACTTTAACACACTGGTCAGTCATTGTTCACCATGACAAACTAAAAACTAATTCTTGTTTTCAAATGCTTAGCAGCACAGTTTACTTAGTTTAAATATGTAAGTAATGAAAATTTCCCTTTTAGTCCGCACAAAAAGACTGGCAATAATGTAAGATAATGATAGAAACGAACTGAAAAACGTTTGCAGTGATAGGTACAAACACAGTTTTCAATTATTATAAACCTGTATAAAAATATATGATTAGGTATGGTTAGTTACGAGTACTATGTATCAATTCGATATCTATTTCAAGTTTAAAGAACTCGTTTTTTGGAAACTTTTTGTATGCTCTTTTGCACTTCGGCAGCTCATGAAACATTAACAATTGATAGCGTCATGCATTAACCAGTAATATTTAAAGACTTACCTATGGTTTTGTTAATCCAGTCAGCCAAGTCCTCCTGCAGCGGGAACAGCTGCCTGGCCTGCGAGTACAGGATCTTCTCCCGGTAGAAGTCCTCATCATCCTCGCACGGCGTCTGCGCGGCCAGCGCGCAGTCCGCCCTCTCAAAACTACTGCTCATCTTCCTATTGACGACTATATCTCCATGGCCGACGTGCCTCTCCTCCTTCTCATCCAGGCTCTTGACGTACTCGAAGGCGTTGGTGCGCTCGAACGCGTTGAAGATGCGATCGAAGTTGCCGCTGAGGGGCCGCTCGAAGCTCGGAGGCTCGGAGGGTGAGGATACAGGCCCCCACGAGGTCCGGCTGCCGATGGCCGTGGGCCCGCAGCGGTAGTACGCCATCTCCAGGCCTGGGCTGCAACAAGAGAGAGCACAGTCAAAATGGTTGTCCAAACTAGAGAAAATAAAGGGACTATGTTCATTTGGCTCTGTAAACGAAGATACCTTGGCTGTAGATAACGTTGACAGAAAAGGTAAGAATAACAAAATTTAAGGTTCTATCGATGAGTACATTGCTACCGCACTACCCACACTTGTTAGCAGTTGACTTAGAAGACAAACGTACCTATTTAAGACCACCTGCACTTTAAACGTCACACATTTTAAACTAATAACGTCGTCAGTGAGTAGCTATTTTATATGGATGATATGGAAGCCTACAGAAGAAAAAATGAACAAAAAAATACCACACAAATGAGGCGCCAAGACATTAATGTTCTCAATCATAATTGCTCGTAATATACCTCGTTATTATGCCATTAATGTTTTTTAATTGTCAGTGACATCAGCGTCATAATAGAGCCGAGCTAGCCGAGGTTTGGCCTTCGAATAAGACTGAACGATAACAAAAACTAATAACGTACGGTCATTCTTTGATTGAACATCGGCAACGCAATTTGCATGTTAACAAGGGATCAGTTGTTGGGCTGGTGCTGAACTAATGAGGGGACGAAGGTCGGGTTTTGACAGACTAATCGTGGTTCAAAGGCGTCGAAACGGATTAATATGATTTTGAATGAAATGGACTTGACGGGTTCATATTTAAGCTCGACATCTTTTAACTGTTCCGAGAAATATCATGAACCCAAAACATTTTGGTGAAGAAGATTCATACATACCTAATATCGCCTAAAGCTAAGACTTACTCTTTCTAAAAATCTATGATGGTGAAATCTAGGATGGACATGGTGTATGGTGATGTGTTGGTTTTTGCCTTTTCAAAATGTAAACTGAAATAAAAAGTTTACAGTCGTAATGGCTACCAATCTACACATAGCCGTGATGGAGTCAGCCTGTTTCTATTCTCAGTTCCTATCTAATGGTTAGCAGCGGGTCATCAGACTTATAATCATTTCCCAGCGGTACGAGCAGTAATCCCGGAGCCTGAAAAGGCGCGACGTTCATGTGGCGGCTAGATGAAAGCGCCGTACAAGGCGAAGTTCGCGCGTGACGCGAGCGCCGAGCGTGCGTGCGCGCCCGCCGGCCTTTACACGGCGCGGTGTTCACGCACGACACGTGGCGCGGGACACGAGCGCTGTCACAAGGAGGAACATGACTGGCTGAATGCTTCGGATTATGGATTAACATTAAAATACGAAATGCAATTATGTTACGTAAGTTTTTGCGGAGGATAATAATTATGGGTAAAAGTAGATGAAGTTTTGACATCATGTTGACATTATCAAACCGATGAATCTGGGTTCTTTTTGCTTACAGAGTCCTGCAGAGAAGTGAAAACTGTCTTGTCCGCTTAAGTAATTAAACTGGTCAAGACCTTACAGTGTAAATAGTCTAGCGAGCTGGCCATCTACTCTTAACTGGAGGAGCAAGTCCGGGTCCTTTGTTTGTGTTGTTTCGCGACCGAATGCCCGATTCGGCACGGAGTTCATAGGATTAAACAAAGAACTGTTTCTAGTCTCAACGACATCTACACAAATACTTTGGATACGGTGATTTTTAATGTATACCCAACCAATATTTTTTTCTATTATATTTATAGTGATGTCAGAACTTCATGAACTGCGACGATACTCAATTTTACCTTACAGCTTGATGCACCCCCCTAAGACACTAAAAAGTGTCACTCCTATTTAAACTAGATTTAAATGAAATGTCCTCGAAACTGACACATAGCTAAAGAGCTATAATTATCCAGTATCACGATTTACAACGAGACCAGTTAAACGTTTGCCAGTTGACAAATTGTAGGATGTAGAATCACGCGCGTCCACGACTTCTTCCTTAATCAATTTAATCCCCTTCGGCAATTGTCTCCCGCACAAGAACACAATGTGACCGCAAATCGGCGCAGGATTCAGTCGTGACGCGGCGTGAGTCAACCGCTCCTGATAGGGAATAGCAAAAAGTATACTTAAAAAGGTGCATAAGAAATGATCCATCAAAGAGGGTACTTAAAAGGACTTGGGTTTTTTGAGTATTAGATCTTTTTGTGTCAATGAGTACCTACATAAATGGAGTGGCTCATTAGCTGATATTTTCGGAATCACAAAAAGTAAAAAAAATAAATATATAAATACATTGTTTTCAGGTTTTCAGTGCAATTAACCAGTTTGTATTCCACGATTGACGAGGTTCATTGGATAAGGTAAAAAGAAGACGAATGATTAACTAGAAAATGACGTGACGATCCTTTTCTGTGTCAAGTTAATAAAAAATCTGTTTGCCATATCATCTAACATTCATTGATCATTCTTTAGTATCACTTCGTAACAGGAAATTACTCCCCTCCAAACGAAATGAATACGGAAATTGGTTGGCTGACAATGGCGACTCTACGTCTGCCTAATTGTCTGGTGTTTCTGGTGTTTGGGAACCATCGAATGACTGAAACGCAATATCATCATATTAGATTCAGATTCAATAACCACACATCAAGGTAATCAAGTGTATCATCAACTCACAAATAAGGATGTTGCTACAGAGCTTTGAATTTCAACTGGTGATTTTCTACTAATGAAGTAGTGAACTACTCGTACTTCATTAGTAGAAAATCACCCCTGTCTTTTAAATTGTGTGTCATCAACCAACTCTAATACCGCTACACAATTACCGAGTTATCCATGAAATCCAATTTATTCTATGCAAAGCGAACCCACTTTATTATAGGATTACGGTACTTTGACAAATAGGAACGCGAAACAGTTGGGACGGCCTGGCACGGCGTTGCGGAAGTATAAAAATCGATCCCACCAAATTGGGACAATATTTTGCATATTCTTCGACACGAACACAATGTATTATAGATTCTACAACTGCAGAATACAGTTTAGTATTGTTTGGAGGCGTTTTATTGAGCAACAACACGCAAGTATGCAGGCCGCGGTTATCCTCGGGAAGACGACAGTTTCGCGTTGGGCTTCATTTGCGGTTTGTACTATCGATCGCCGAGTTACATAGAAACTACTCGCTTTCTTTACGAGTACTTACGGTGTACTGCGAATTTCTCAATCGAAAATACGGTAAAATACCTTTGAGAGGACGGGACCGCAACCACAAAACGTTTTAGAAAAGACGTTCGGGTATGCGGGTCGGGTGCTTGGTTTATTGTGCAATTTCATAGAGTTCATTTCAGAAACATGAGTTGCACGAGTCTTTTTCAAGCAATTATAGTTAAAAATGCACTTGCTCCACAACACACGCAGGGTATTTAGGTTAATTATATAATTACGGTGGAATTCGCGAGTGGCTTGCCGCATGTCCAGCGACGAGATTCCGGCGACGGATGGCTGCAAGAGGCTCTCCTTGGCTATCGGGTGCACTTTCGACCGACGTCAATCACCGCGTGCGCCGCCGTGTGCGAGCAAATACTGCAGAAGGGTTAACATCACATACATGATATTAAGTATTTATTACCTAGACTCCATCATCATTTACTTTTCTTTTTTGTCAAGGGATTCATCGTAAACTTATCAGTGGGATACAGTTATATGGTTGCATAAGGTTCTGATCATCAACGACTACAGCAATTGTAGACCACATATCAGATATAAAAGATATTACAATCATTACCACGAACGAAGTTATTTTGACAGTTAGGCAGATGCTAGGCTGAGCTAGGATCTAGATTGTAGAGCATTCAAGTGTCCCCTCTGTCGCTAGGTACTCCGGCCCTACGCGTGTAGCCCACGCGAGCGACGACTAGGTCAAGTTGAGCGAGCGCGCGCGCAGCTTCGCGCAAATCACGCGTTTTTGCGCATTCACGCCCGACCCGATGGACCGACGAAGATCGATGGCCGCTCCAGCTGGGCTGCATTATTCATCGGCCGACTTGATTGACTGTATGTGTTTACTTTAATTCCATATGCCCTGATACAACGCGTTGAATTTATTGGCTTGAAAGGCACGCATTCTAGAATGTTACGCATTTTACTAGATAATTATAGTGTATATTACCTATTTGGTTTACGCAGTTCGAAAATGAAAAAATCGTACCATAAAAACTATTATTTTTGTAGTAAAGAAGTAGCAAAAATATGAGTTGAAAAATAAAAGACTTTCCAGGAATATACAGACACGCCCTATTCTAATCTCTGAATGATCAGAGATGAGAGGATAATTCCATTGACAGAGTCAGCTTACTGTATCCGTCCATGATAGCAGCTCTCAATAAGTTAATCGAGTCCCGAGATAGAGTCGAGGGCTCTTGATGAGCATCGCATGTCGAGTGCATCAATGATTGTGTCCGTCAGACTCTATCGTGATTGCGAGCAGTCTCGCTGCCTCTAGGCTGAGAGCTCTCGATCAACAATCGTCCCCGCTATCCAAAGGGTCCTTAATAAATACTGCCAACTAACTACGGAGGCCAGACAAATGCGCAGTGCACAAAGCGTAACAATGAGTTCACATATTACACGAGAAATTAGAATCGTTTAAATATGTTTCCTTGATTTCGCTATCCTAAAATTAATCAAAATTAGTTCAGCGTCTAAGGAGTGGGGACGTAATAAATAAATTGATGCATTTAGGTAGGCGTATTACTGTTATAAGAGTCACTTATCTCATTCCATCAAAAGCTCTCAATCAAGCCAGAGATAGAGCACGAAGTCTTAAATGAATAAATCGCTGCCGGTAAATAATACTCGTAGTACAAGTGGCTTGATAGAGCATGCGTGTCGCGTCTCCTGCGCGGAGCCTTCCCTCGGGACAAAAGACCGCAGGCGCAGGATGCAGGGTTGCCACGTTAATGGTGAAATGATTTCGCAAGTATTCATTGACATTGAAAGAGTATACAAGGTAGAGGTATATAGTCTAAAAATAAATGCAGGTATGTACCTGGATCAGACATAGCAAAGCAAGAGGAAATAGCGACAGGCAGGGCGCAAAGAATGATAGCCG